ATCCAAGAAGAAGAAAACTCATTTATCAATAAGATCTCAAGACAGTTTCTAAAAAAATAAAATAAATAATATAAAAAAAACAACAAATTATAAAAAATTATTAAAAAAAATTATTTAATAAATTAAAATAATACTAGATGAATATTTGGCTTAGGATTAAAGAAACTAACTAGACAACAATTTACTCTAATTAACAATATTTACATCAAGGTTTATTTACAATTAAAGATTAATTTAAAAATAAATAAAAGCAAATCACAAGAATGTAAATAATATAAGCAAAAAAACAAGATTTATCAAAGGTTATAGAATCATATAGTAAAACAATTTAATAAAAAATCTGGATTAGAAGTAATTAGAAAATAATAAAAAAAAATAATATAAAAAATTAATAAAAAAAATCAGAAAATTAAAAAAATTATATGAAATTAAAAAAATAATCAAGATATAAAAAAGAATTGATTGATGGAAGAGGAGAATAATAAAAAAATAGATCAAAGAAAAAAGAAAAAGAAAAAAAATAAATTGATCAATTAATCAATCAATTTAAAACAAACTGGTTTATTCATTCTTAAAAAGTAAAACTTGCTTATATAACATCAGGTCAATCTGTTAAATAATTAATTTATACCTTTTTTTAGATGACTAATTATTTTTTTTAGAATTTTAAGCTACTGCAGTATCAGTTTAGTAAGGGCATTTAGAGATTCTAATTATTTTGTTTTAGAATTTCAGGCTGTTAAAATATCAGTTTATTAAAGGTATTTAGAAATTAATAATTATTTTTTTCTAGAATTTCAGGCTGCTGCAATATTAGTTTAGTAAAGGCATCTAGAGATCATTAATTATTTTTTTTAGAATTTTAAGCTGCTGTAATATTAGTTCGATAAGAGTATTTAGAGATTATAAATTATTTTTTTTTTAGAATTTTAGGCTACTATGATATCAGTTCAGTAAGGTATTTATAAATTATTATATTAAAATAGTAAAATCAATTTTTCAAAAAATTTTATTTAAAAATTTTTAATTTTTATTTAAACAAAATCCAAAGTATAGGAATAATATTTTTATGGTTTTAGGATCAGATTATTTTTTCTTTATAATCTCTTTTTATATAAATAGATACAATTTTCAGTAAGATAAAGCTGAATTTGTATTTATTTATTTATTTATTTCTCAATATAATTTATAGTGAGATTAAACTATAAATTTGTATTTTTTTTTTTAAAACAATTATTTTTAAAAATTAACATTATGACTACTCAATTAATTAGAATTAAAAAAAATAAATCTTCTTTAGCTTTAATGAAAACAAGAGTAATTCCAAATTATTTATACTTTTTAACAGATTTTTTAATTAATAAATTAATGAAAATAATATCATCGTATAATGATGATAATTTAAATAAGCTTTTTACTTTTATTTTTGTCTCTACCCTTGCTTCTGCATTTGCCTTTACCTCTACTTTTATATCTACCTTTATCTCAAACTCTGCTTTTACTTCTATATCTATTTCTACTTCTACATCTGTTATTACAAATAATATGATTAAAAAACAATAAAAAAATATGAACAAAAAATTAAAAAATTAAATACTGTATTAGGTTTGTAATTCCTTTAAATGTTAAAAATAATTAATTTCAAAATATAATGATAATATTAAAAAATATCTTATTAATAATTATTTTAAGATACAGTAAATAATAACACAAAAAATTATTTTATTTATCAATATAAATAATAAATTATATGTGTTAAATTTAATTATCAAAAACTTTTTGATAAAAAAAGTTTTTTTTCAGATAAAAGAAATCAAATATTTAAAAAACTTAATATTGAACTTAATTATTTTACAAATAATTTAAAAATCTAATTAAAGATTCATTTTTTAATGATGAAAATTATGCATATATACATAATATATAGAGGTTATATAATAATGAGAGGACATAATAATTATATGTTATCTACTATTGAAGAAAATATTGTTATATAATTAAATTCATATATAATTATATGTTAGATCATTTCTTTAATTTTAAACAAATTAAAAGAAAAAGTAACAATCTATATAATTATTTTAAAAATAATATAGAATTTGATATAATAATAGATGTTAGAATAAAACATTTTTGAGAAGTATTAAAATCTGAAAAAAACATTTGAATTTTATCTTCATTTAAATAATATATTATTTCTATTGATTATAGATTTAGAATATTTAATTAAAAATTTAATTAAAATTAATTTTTCTAAATTGTATGATAATTTTAATATAGATTTTTCAAATATTAACATTAAAATTAATTTATCATTTTTTAAAAGTTTTGCTATAAATTTAAGTATATCAGGAGAAAATGATAAATTAAATTTAATAAGACAAGACGCTACTGATCTTTATAAAGATAATAATAATTGTAAATATGCATTTTGCATAATAGTTATTTTTAGGGATTTTGAAGGTGGAGATTTAGTTTTGAGTAAAATAGGTATTATAGTAAAGATTAAATATGATTATATCATTTTATTGAGATCTGCTCTTTTAGAATATTTTAATTTAAATGTTCTAAAAAATAGATTTTCAATAGTTTATTATTTAAAAAAATCATTTTATAACAAAATTTAAAATTAATAATTTAAATTAATAAAATAAATTTGAATTTTAATTAAAATAATGTATAATTTTATAGTTTTAAAATGTTAATTAATTAATAATACTGTTTCAAGTCAACTTGAGTCAAGTCAAGTTTGAGTCGAGTTTAAATTGAGTTGAGTTAAATATTTAACTCAACTTAAATTTGATTTGACTTACAAATTATTAAATCAAAAAAACATAAACTCAATTTAATTTAAACTTGACTCAGCTTATCTAACTTGTGAGTTAACTCGACTGGTCTGGAATTCTAAAAAAATGTCAAATTTTACTATAAAAAAACATCCAAAATTGTAAAAATATTACTAAGTAAAAATGATGCAACTTTTAATAATTGATTCATAGATGGTATTGTAAAAACAAAAATTTGAAAAAAAAAACAAAAAAAAGCTTATTTTCCCTCCTTTTCACCTACTGATCTCACTTTTTACTTATAGATTTTTTAGATTACACAGACATATAAACAAATTTTACTTTGTTACGTCAAAATGCATTACACAATTTTTTGTTACGCTATTACGTCTAATTTTACTATATAATTATATATAAATTTGTTATACTATCACATATAAAAATGACTTAAATTTTTGTTACACAATCATGTATAAAAATAAATTGAAGTTTTATTACATCATCACGTATTAAATTAATTTAAAAATTACGTGTTGATTTTATTTACATGTCTTAATTTAAGAGGTATAATTATTTTTTTGGATTATATTTGATATCACATATATTTCCAAAAATATATTTCTGCTATGCAAACTAATTATTGAGTTTGATAATTTTTATCTCTACTAAGCAAATACATATTTGACTATATTAAAATTTTGTTATCTACTATGTAAAATTTTAGGTGACTTAATCAAAAATTTTTTATGTTCAATAAGCAATCTTAAATCTAACATATACATATATTATTTAGGATTCTGTATATGTGTATTAAAAATTGGATTCATAAAATATAATATTTTTCTTATAATAATAATTAATAAATTTAATAATATTAATAATACTTATACAATTAAATTAATTGCTAATCACTATCATAAATATCATTACAAATAACTTTATCATCAAGAATTTTCATTTAATAAATCTACTATATATCTATTTACTCAATTACAAATATATTAAATATATTACATCTATTATAATGCTATTCTTTATGTATAATAATACTAATAATAAATCAAATTGAATCAGATTTTGAATAAAAATCTGATCTAATAAAAAGAAAGAAAGGATTTCTTTACTAAGGCTTTTAAAAGCAAAAAAAAATAAAATTAAATAAACAAAACTTATCTCATTTATTTCGTTTAAAGTCCTGATTATTTGTTTTATCTAAATTCACTAAAAAAAGAAAAAGAAAATGTTAATTACGTTTTCTAAAAGCAAAAAAATAAAATAAATCAAATGAACAAAACTTATCTCATTCATTTTATTCAAAAGTTCAAAGTTCTGATCATTTGTTCGTTTAGGTTTACTAAAAAAGAAAAAGATAATGTTAATTACGTTTTCTAAAAGCAAAAAATAAAATAAATCAAATAAATGAAACTTATCTCATTTATTTTGTAACATCTAGAAAAATTAATCAGAACTCGAGAAAATATTTTCACGGATGATCAAATTAATCATTTTATACAACTATGATGGCGTTTTCTTGATGAAGATTCGAAACAAATTTAAGTTTTATAACCGAGATGTTTTTTGGATTATTTCTTTTTTTATTTATCTTTTATACTAATGGATTTTTTCCGCTGAAAATTTCTTAAGAATTTACAAAAGATGAGACTTTAAGGATGAATTCAAGTTTGGTTTTTTAAAAAATTAGTCGATTTTGTAACATGACATGGTGCGTTAGTTTTTGGAACTATTACAGTATATCACAAGATAACAAAGCTAATAACTATTATTTATAATATTCACTAGATATTAAATGATTTATTTGCGATCTCTTTGTTAACATCGAAATTCAGAATCAATAAAGTCAAAATTGTAAATCGAATATTATTCACTATTACAATTAATAAGGTTAATAAATCAAATGGTAAAATCTTCAAACAAGAAGGGACCTTTTCAATTGCTAGTAGTTCTTATTAGCTTTGATACATGGGAGGTTTGCTATAAAATCAAGTTACGAACGTAGTAAATCATATGATCCGTAACGTGATTTTAATAGAACATCTTTATTAAAAGCGAATGTCTAAACATTTTGAAAAGTGAGACGGCCGAGTAGCCGATATTTTATGGTTCTCTCTCTCAAAGTCGCTTTTTGAGGAGTATGAGGATTGTTCTTTCAATTACAGTACAAAAGACAAATTAGATTTTGCTTTAATCAACAAACTAATAAAAAAATTCTTTAAGTCTTTTAGCGACTGATTGAAAATTACCAACTGGTGGTAATCTGCTTGTCCCAAAACCTACACGAAAATAACAAAATAAATAACGATGTGTAGTGTTATAGATAATGCTGTATTATTACTAACCAAAGCCAAAGAAAGTTCACGCAAATACCTTTATTTGGTGCCATAAACCGTCGCATTTGATACCAGCTATAAATGAAAGCTGGTGTCGAATATTCATACATGATAAATCGTTTGATTTTGGCTGCATAGGTTTCATCAACTTGGTCACTCTCAGATACTATAATTATTAATTGTGAAGGAAAAATTATTTAATTAGTAAATTTATAAACTATCATAATGTCTTAAAGTTCTTTAACACTATTTACTTTGATCATCTTCCAGATGCCCAGTTCCTGTATGGTTGGTAACCGAACCATGATATGCTATAATTATTAAATGTGAAGAAAAAATTATTTAATTAGTAATTTTATAAAACTATTTAATTCTATAAAAGTTTCTAAACGTTATTAACTTTGACGATATAGGGCTTGTATGGTTGGTAATTGCATATTTCTTTCAACCATAAACGTCAGGTAAGTTACTATAATTATTATGTGAAAAAAAAAATTACATTAGTAAATTTATAAATCATCAAGTTTCTCAGCGCTATGATATTTACTTTGACGGTATAATAAATATTTGCTGTGATGGCTGTGATGGTAATAGTGGGTTTAAGAGCGATTTTATTTTTGTGATGATCATTTTTGAAATATCACATAATTATTAATTTTGATTGGTACAAAATTGATCGTCATAAAAATTACCAAAATAGAAAGGTTATTAAAAAATATTTTTCGGCTAATTTTTTTATAAATTTTTTTATATAAAATATATCGATATCTATATTTTTTTATAATAATCATTAAAATTAGAAAAAGTAGAAAATTAAAAAGGAACTTGCAACATTAAATTAAAAAGTAAAATTATAAATATACTAGATATCATACATTTAAACCACTATTTAATAATATTGATTAATGTATCAAATATTTAAATGTTTGGATTAAGAAGAAGAACAAAGAAAACTAGTTGATCAACATTATTCTAAGAGTAAAACACAGTATTGCAGCATTGATGTTACTGCTCATTACAGTTATGATTGAGTTCAAAATGTTTATGTGTCACATTTAGAAGTAAAATTTATTATCTTAGTCCATGTAAAGTTCATTTATTTGGTATTCAAGATGAAGTAGTAAGGGAGTAAATTAATTATATTCTTAATGAAAATGAAATTGTAGAAAAAGGACTAAATGGTACATTAGTATGATTTTTGATGGAATTAAAAAATTGAATAAAGGTGAAAAACATTTAAAGATTATTTGTAATAATGCTAGTGGATAGAATAAAAATAATGTAAAAATTTGGTTCTATTTATATTTAGTAATTTGTGGTTATTATAAAAGTATTGAATTGAATTTCATGATTTTTGAACATACCAAATTTAAATGTGATGGTAGTTTTGGTTTAATAAAAAAACTCTACAGAAAAACAAGAGTAGATTGTCTAAATCATGTGGTTGAGGTGGTAAAAAAGTCTAGTTCAGCTAGATTGAATAAAGCTCAATGTTATGAAGGTGGAAGAGATTTTCAATACTTAAATATTAAAGCTATTTTAAAAATTTATTTTAAGAAATTACCAAGCATCCAGAAATATCAACATTTTCTTTTTAAAGCATCTAATTTTAGTATAGTGAAAGTTCAAGAGGTTGCTAATAGATCTTTTGTTGAGTTCAATTTATTGAAAACTAAGAAAACAGATATCTTTAAAGAAATTAAAGTTTTATCTATTTTAGTGTTAACACCATCTCCTTTAGATTACAAAAGGCAAGAATATTTTTACCAGAATATTTGCCTATTTGTAAGGGATGAATTCAAAATATTACTTGTCCAAGACCAATTTATACCAAAAATGAATAGAATATTTAGAATAAATCATCTCTATTATTAGTTAATTTGTCCGTTACTGTCATTAAGTTTAATAAGTTTAGCTTTTTCCACCTTTAAAGTAAAAAAGTACTAAAATAAAATTTATATACTTAATATATCATCATAAAAAGCATATAAGTATAATATATTAAAAGAATAAATAAAAAAAAGGAACAAACAAGAAACCATGACAAACATCATAAATGAACAACAAAAAGAAAATAAAGAACTATTAAATGAAATAGAAACACTAAAAAAGCAATTAAAAAACAAAGAAGATGATTTTAAACTAAGAATTTGAAATGCTAATGACAATATTAAGGAAAGTAAAAGACCAGATATTGCTGACATTTTAATGATTTTAGAATAACATTTTTGATTTAAGGATAGTTAAGTAAAGATTCAAAAAGAAAGTGGAGTTAAGAAAGCTATTTTTGGTAATAAATTCACCTTTGAAAACATTAGTTGTAATTCTCTCAGTTATATTTCTGAACAAAATAAAAAACTTGAAGAAAAAAATATTCTTTTAGGAAAAAAGTTGCTGAATTAACTCTTTTTAAAAAACAGATTAAAAATTTAAAAGAAAATATGGCTAAAATTCTCAATACTTACCTTAAGGAAGAGCAACAAAAAGAAAAAAATGATTGAGATTATTGACACAAAAAAGATTTAAAAGAGTTAATAAATGAAAATGAAGATAAATCAGTTGAAGTTACTATTGAAAGACTTTGCTGAGACATTAGATACAGTTAAAAAATAAAAAAATTGATAAAAAGATCTTTTGAATAATGAAATCAAAGAAAAATCATTAATATTCTAAAAGTCTAATAAAATGCTTGAAGAGAAAATAACAAAAAATACAAAGTTGCAAGAAGAATTAATCCAAAAATTAGAAATGTTAAGAAAGAATGATCAGAGATTTGAGGATGAAGCAAAAGAAAGAGAAGAATTAAAAACACAACTATATTTTAAAAGAAAACCCTTACCCTTTCTTCCTAAAGAAGTAAAAGTAGAATTTTAAATAAATAAAGCATTTTCAAGCCAAGGTTCAACAGTTGTAGAAATTAATCAAAAGAGAGAAGTTTTACAGTTAAGCAATTGTCACTAAAATAGAAGTTTTAATTAAGTAGTTATGAGAGAATTGTTTTACACAATCTTAGATTTAGAAGAATGACATAGCACTAATTCTACTTGTGTTTTTTGTTCTAGTTTGAAAAAAGCAGTTTGTTAAATTAGAACACGAAGCAAAGCAACTGGTGAAATAGTTGAAAATGATAAGGCTTATGAAAACTGTAAAGAGAAGTTTGAAAATGATAAATTGCCTAAGTGTGATTGTAAAAGATTAAAAACTAGATATACTTGTGATTGCAAAGAAGAGGAAAATGAAAAAAAACTTTCTCTTTTACCTCATCAAAATGGAGAAATGGCACTTTTTTATGAACAGCAAATAAATGGCTTGTAAGAAAAGGAAAGATAGTTAAAAGAGGAAGTAAATATATACTTGGAAGCCTTAAAAGTAGCTGAATATTGGCATAAAAAATAGAAATAGAAACTATTAGATCAAATTAAGCAACTAGAAGAAGAAAACAAATAACTAAAAGAATTAACTTCACAAGAATTATTAAAAGAAATCAATAATTTAAAAGCTCAATTAACCCAATTATAATAATAGAATGGTCAATTAACTACACAAATTGAAATTAAAAAAATTAAGAAATGACCTTGATTGAAAATAAAAAAGTAATTTTAGGTATTTTCTTCTGTATAATTTTAACTATTAAAGAAAATAATAGTTATTTTCCTTTTAAAGGTTTCTGCTTTTTATTAGGTAATTATGCATCATTATGTTGCTTTTTTTTCTTAACATTTATTATTTTTTTTTCCTTTTGATAAATTTCATAGACAATCTTTTCTTTGTCTAAATATGTTTGCAAAGATTTGGTATCTGCTAATTTTAAAATATAAGGTGCAATTTTTTCACCTTGTTCTTTCTTCAAAATACTTCTAATAGTACTATAATTTTTGGATTCCATAGTAGATCTGATGTAAATTAATTTTAAATTAACTATTTTTATATAGGAATAGTTATATATATCACTTAAGATAACAAATGGAATATTATAAAACTATTAATTATAATCATGTTACAAATGACTGAATTTTGATCCCTGAAATTCTTGGTAACTTTGTCTGATTTTGTTGTAACATGCCCCAATTATTAATATTTATATAGTATTTACTTTTAATATGATTATATATATATTGTAAATTTTTTTACTTTTTATTATTAATTTTATTTATTTAAGCTAAGTAAAATTCATAATAATTTGATAAAATTTTTATATACATATTCTATTTAATCTCTTATTTATTTATTTTAATTTTTTTATTTATGAATTTATATATTAATATATAGTATTTAAAAATATTTAGTAATAAAATATAGTTTATTAGATTCTTATAGTGATTTTAATTAAATAATAATTATTAAATATTTCAAAATATTTTTTTAAAATATTGTTACTAATAACTTATATTTATTAATATAAAAATATAATTTTACTATAAATTGTTATAAACTAAATTTTTTATCTTTCTATAATTACTAAATAGTGATTTAAGTTACTTGAATACTTGAATAAAGACTGTTGGTAAATTATTATATATTTACATACTAAATAACAAAATTTATAAATTTTTAAACTAAGATGAAACTATAAATTAAAGGTTGCATATTTATAAATAAGTTTTATAAATTTACCCCTGAAATTTTTTTAGTTATTTATTGGTTTGTCATATAAATTATTGAGCTACCAAACACGGTTGGAAAAAGTTCCACTCTCGAAAACAACTTTGCGGGTATTAGCGAAAAATTTGGAAAATATGGTTTATACGCCGAAATTAGTTTCACAAAACAATTCGTCACTTTTCGAACAGGACGTGAATTCGTCACCGTCTAATCAAAGCAGTGAAAGTAGATTTAATAGTAGTACTCAATGGTTACGAAGACGTTTCGAGCAAAGCCAAGAAACTTCTTCCGCGTCTGAATTTGGGGATCAGTATTCTCCGTTACTATTGCGTGGAAAAAGCGGCAAGAATTTAAATTTAGGAGCGAAATCTACAGGGTTTCAACCTTTTAGTCCTGTTCAAGAGCAATCATCTCCAACGTCAACCTCACCAGCTTCACCCACGTTCCCACAATTACAAGGATTGATTAGAGAACAATCACGAACATCATATCAATCACAATTCCAATCTAGGCCAACGATATTTCAATCATCACAATTTCAATCTAGGCCAACACCATTTCAATCATCACAAATTCAACCATCACAATTTCAACCTAGGCAAACATCATCATTCCAATCAAATCAATTTCAGCTTAGGCCAAGAATTGATACTACAGGATCAACTCTAAGCAGTATTCAGGGCATTGCCCAACAGGATAATACTAGTAGACTTACATCCTTCGCGTCGACACCCCAGCCACTTTTGCAGTCGCAACCAAGCACTTATATTACTCAGTCAAACGTCGCGCCTATAAATACACCAACTTATACTGGTCCTGTTAGGACTTCAGATTCAACATTTGATGTTGGTATATTAGGTAATCGATTTGAAGGACAACCAATATATTCAAGTAGGCAAAATATAATTGAACGTGAGATATCAAATATGAACGTACGAATAGCCGATTCACCCCTTGTTCAATCAACACCCGCACCAAAACCGAGGCAGCAACAAACGTCACCTCCTCATAAATTAGAGAATTTGCCTTATCTTGCTCGTCTCCTAATTATTGAGCAAGAATTACCAAAGAATGATTTTGAAGTAGAAAAAAGTAATAGTGTGAAGACATTGATTTGTAACATTTGTTTGGTGATTGTTATAACAATTCTAACTTCCACAAAATATTTTCGGTATGCATTGATTATTCATTGTAGTTTGTTTCCAATTTTATTATGTATACACTAATTACTCTATTTGAAAAGGCAATTTGAAATCTATACAGTTACAAATTTCATAGGCAAGTCTAGCTTATTATTATAGTATTATTATGATTATTATTATTAATATTATTATTATGATTATGATACAGGATATGGCTTGTTTTGTATGCCCATATTTTTCATACTTCGAGTACTTTATGTAAATGTTCTATGGAATAGAAAGAAGAAACAGATTAATCAGATCAAAGAACAATTAAGTAAGTAGTATTAAATTTAAATAAATGGTATTTACAATAGATCCTTATCCTTAAAACTATATTTATAGTGAAAGAATTGGAACAAAATAGTTCTTATGATCCTTCATGTTACACAATTAGCCCACCACGCCCTTCAAAAAGTATAACTACACCAACATCATCAAGCACTGTCGTATCATCAATCCCAACACAATTTACAATATTACCTTCTTCAATGAGCTTACCTTTCACTGGCATTTCAACAACCTCGACGATTTTCCCTTCTGCATCTGCATCTTCATCGAATTCATTCATTAATGCTTGGGGTTCTTCTGGTAGAACACCTTTTCCACAGCAAATTCCTCCTACGACGAAGTATCGTCAAGCACCATATGTAACTCCGTCGAAGATTGATGAAAAGTTGATTACCGTTGGCAACGTTTTAGCTCGATCATCACCAACTCCACATCCTACCGATAGAGAAACCTAAACCCAATAAACATTGTGCTTAAATTACACAATATTCATTCCAATATTTAAATTGGTTGAATATTTGAACATTGTGTACGTCTTTTAGAAATATGATAAATTTGTATAAGTATTTTGGAATATTATACTTTATTTAGTAAATAAATAAATAAAACCTTTTTTTTTTTTTTTAAAAAAAAAAAAAAAAAAAAAAAATCTCGCCATACGTTAGGAAATTAAATTAAAAGTAATTAATGTCTTAAAGCTAATCACTAAACTATATTATTAGCTTATAAATTGTGCTAATTTTTGTTTATTCTAATTCCAACTTGAAATTATTACAAATAAATTTTTTTTTTTTTAAAAAAAAAGAATGGTAAACCAAAAATTTTGAACGTATACGTTTGTAGATTACAAATATGATAATTGTATTTTATATGTTGTAATGGAAAGAACCACAAAAAAGATGAAGTATATTTATAAGAAAAAAAAGTTCTAATATATGTATTAAACTTGGGTTACGACATAGTAAATCATATGATTTTAAATCCCATATATTCATCTAACACGTTTTCATTAACTGATATTTTCGTTCTCTTCATTTATTTCATTTATGGCTTGAAAACCAAATATTTGTTGTAGCCTCAAAAGTTTTATTTTACGTTGATCATCTAGATATTTAAAATCAAAATTTTAAATTTTTTAATTTCAACCAAATTAATAAAATACATGATTATAATCTTACCTTCTGTTGGAATTATATTATCCTCCGTTTTATCATGATTATTTGAATTTTGAGGAACTAAAAAAAAAAAAAAAAAAAAAATATGAAATTCATGATTAAGCTAAATAGAGAAACAAAATTTTATTATAATTGAAATAACATACAGAGATTTTTAACTTCCGCGATAACATTAGCTCTTTCCTTTTCTTCTTCTTCTATAGCAATGTTTGCAAGTCCACGGCGAATATAACTTTGGAAATATGGACCTGTCCTAGATAACTGTGTTGTTATCTTGCCTTCCATTTCAGGGTGTAGTTTTTGAAATTCATATAATTCATAAATACCCTGAATAAACAATTTCAAATAATTTAAATCCAACTATTTATTTAATTCTAATGATTATTTATTTAATTGACTACCTATAATTACCTTTTTCGTTTCTTCTCTCGTTCCAATTTTAAGGAAAATTTGAGTCAGCCGTGCATTCATTTCTACTTCATGTGAGCCTGATGAACGTGCACTACTAGTTGGTGTAGGGAATTTCGGAGTCATCGGAGTGCGTGGTGACGCTGGACTTACTGGCTCTGAAGCATTTGACATTGTTTCATTAATATGACCAGGAACTTCGGGTATTGGAGAACTTCTAGCTGGTGGAGAACTTATAGATGATGAATTTTTTGCCGATGAATTATTCTTAATTGAAGCTTCGTTTAAGGGAGAAGATCTTGCAGTATCTGTAGTGGCAAGTGTCAAGTCGGAACCGGGTGAACTAAAAGATCGGACTGATGAAATTGAAGATGAACGACTTGATATATTATTGTAAGCGATTGTTGAATTATTAGCTAGCTTATCCTTCTTCTTAGTAGCCTCAATCATATGATGCAAATAAGGATAAACATAACTCCTTTGTGGATCTTCAATAAGATCTAAATGTTCGTATACATTATCACCAAGACCTGTTACCAATTCAAGTAACAATGTTTTAACCGTACGTAAAGGCATTTCGCCTAATGGTACCTTTTCTGCTGCTCGTCTTTTCCATTCAGCTGGTGGTGTTGCTAAAAAGAAGCTATTGAGATCACGTAATAATTGATTCGGTGAAAGGATACCAGCCTTCAAATTATCTTGAACTGTCTTTGCTAGTTTCCATAAACATTTCATAATTAGTTCAGTAAACTTTGTTTGTGTGGTAGCTGTAGCTGCATCAACTTCACGCAAATTAGATGATGATTTTTCTAGTATTGAGATTAGTGCGCTAAAAAAAAAAATTTAAAGATATAAAATAATACTTTTCTTTTTATATAGGAAAATTAATCTCTCTTACCTATACGTTCTGTTACGATTGCTATTTTCAAGTACCTTAACCATTGAGACATTAAGCGCTTTTGATAATTGTTGACCACCATCCACTATTGTGAGATTATGATCTAACAAGCGATGTGCTAGCTCAGATAATAAACGGTCAAGTGAATCTTGAGACACTGCTAATGCCAAATTCTTATTTGAAAATAATAGTACTAAAGCGTTGACAAGATGTTTACATAGTCGAATTAAACTCTGTGATTGTGGTTGAAGCTGTGTATAAGAAATACGAACTTGGAATGCCAAAGCATTTACGAGTTCATCTACATCATGAATAATGGATTCAGGAGAAGTGTTCAAATGTTTGTCTAACTCTTTCAATGCCTCAATACTTTGTTGAAACTCTGTACTCATAATTTTAGTAATGATAATCTCCACCATAAAAACAGAACCGCGCTCAGATGTTCGCTGTTTAACAGGAGGTAATCCAGGAGAATGCGGAATCGCATTTATTTCATTATTCTCTGATAGGGAACGTTCTGATTTATTAACTTCTATGCTAAACAAATCTTTCTTAGTTTCATTCTCATCAATGGAACCATTAGATACTGTAGGAATTTGCCCATTTGCACCATTCATACTAGGACGAATTCGAGAAAACTGTAATCTTGACGGAGGTGGTAACCCTCTACCAATACCACTTGGAATACCACCTCTTTGAGAAGGTGACTGAAGCCTACTAATACCACTAGGTTGTGCTAACAAAGAAGGTGGTCCATTTATAGGTATGCTCGATGCATTAGGATTTGCTGTGACTAATGGATTTGCTAATGATGCAGTAGGTTTATTAAATGTTGAATTAGCTGGTGGTCTAAGAATTAATCCTGGTGGCAATTTCACTGGTTCGTCATCATCTATTTCTTCATCGTCTTCGTCAGCTTTATCCTTGCCTGATGGTGCAGCAAGCCGAGATTTTAGGCCCGCCTTTTTAGCATCCTTCCTCGCAGCGGGACCACTAGGGCCTGTTGGTCGAACGGCTTCTATCATCGGCATAATTGTCTGTTTTAATGCACCTTTCAAATCACCACATTTTGCTACTACATAATCATAACCGGCACTTTTTACTATAGGTCCTAAACAAGCCTGTGCTGCTTTTCTAACTTCACCATTCCGATCTTGTAAGCAAGATAGAATTGGTTGAACCATGGGTGACAAGTCTGGTAACGCATTCTTTTTATCACTCTCTGCAGCTTCCTTGAGACGTTCAGAAAGCCAACTCAATAGATCTTTTCTTAATAAAGGATTATCAGTCGCAAGACTTGTTGAAAATGAACCAATTAAAGGATCGAGCCCACAAGCATTTGCTAAAGCATCCAAAGTGCCAATAGCACTGCCGCGGACTGTTGCTTTTTTATCTGTAAGAACAGCTGTGACTGGTGCTACTAATATTTTAACATGCCTGTCAAATGGCTTGCCCATCGCAGTAGCAAGCTTAGCAGTTATATCCAAAGCCATCATTTGCAAGTTTTTATTACTATCTGATAGCCTCGCTTTCAGGATAGGAATGAAGTCACCTATAATATAAATATTGTAATTAAGGTTCCCTTGCTTTTTTTTTTTTGTCTTTTTAAGTATACTAATATAATTAACAAACCTAAGCTCGGTTTAATTTTCTTATTAGCATCAACAATAGCAAGGACTTGATCAAGTGCATCCTTTCGAACTTTCCATTTATCATCGTTACATTCCTAACAATATATTATTATTATACACCATTAAGAAAGGATAATATAATCACCAATCAAAAAACTTACTGCCATCATTTTACTAGTAAATTGTGCGCTAATATCAACTTTAGGAAACAATTCTTCTAAAGTATCTTTCCCACTACCTCCTGTGCTTATAACATCGACCTTTTTAAATGTATAAAGAATAGAAATCAATATTTTAGGTTATATATAAAAATGATTATAGGTTTGATGATACACACGCTTGTTTTTAATGCTTTTGGAGGTGCTTTATCAGCTACTTTCTCAAATTCACTGTCAATTGTGGCTAGTTGTGTAGGATTTAAGTCTTGAACAAATGTTCTTATATCTACAACATAAATAGAATATTAAATATTATATATAATTGGGGAATATACATGACGATTTCTTTTTTTTTTACCTGGTCCTACAAAAACGCGCAAAGCTCCCAAAACAGTGACAGAATTTGTGCGAACAGCCGCATTAGAACTGCTTAATGCGAATTTGAGAAATTCAATCAACTCACGCACTTGAAGAGCTGCTATTCCAAATTCCATAATAGCACCATGCATCCATGTTAAACTATCAGCTAATGTCTTAGGTGCTTTTGCTTTACGCAATGGATCATATGCTGTAATTTAAAGGTTTTATTAGTATTATAAATATTTATAAATTTAGACAACATAACTACTAACCTTGCGAAAATACAAATTGTAAGGATATTTTTTCGGTAAAAGCCGTTAATGCGTCTCCTGCACTTTTCTTTAGTTTAATGTCGCCCAACTTTTCTATCAATACTATAGTAACGAACATATAAATATTTTTAAAGAGATAAAGTAGTGAAATAAAATAAACACATTAAACGCATTTTACTTGGTATTGCTAATGCTGCCGCTGGTTTTCCAAATGACGGAACTTTTTGACAAAGTATCTCCATTATATTAAATGCTTTTGATAAAATCTAAAATGTTAAACTTAGGTTAACACGTATTTAAAAATATTATTTCATATCTTAACACAATATAATATAAACCTGAAAATTGCTTTCTTTCCAGCCAGGTTTAATAGAAAGAAATCTGATAAATAACTCCGCTTCTACTTCAGACGGATCCATCTCTTCTAACGTGGTTTGAAGATTCTCAATAGCTAATATGAAAACAAACTAGTAAAAATTCTGCATAGTTTCAAGCAAAATAATTTTACTAAAATAACATACCCTCCAAACGTAATTTCCAATTCTTTTCACTTAATCCGGCAGTCTGATCGTCAGAAATCAATTCAGCAACCTTGGACTCAACTTCTTCGCTAGTAAACTTGTATTTGATAACTTCTTCCTTCACCTTTCCGCTCTTCTTTTGAGGAGGTGGAGCAGAAGCTTTTTTCGGAGGACCTCCTGGCTTTGCTGCTGGGGCGGATTTTCCAGCAGGAGCTGCCTTCTTGGGTGCAGATCCCTTCAAAACAAATTCCCAAAAAGGCAAAATGAGTTGAACTATTATATAACAATATCAATGAAAGATTAAATTAACTACTCCTAAAATATGACGCACAGCTTCTTTTTTTGCCACAGGTTTTCCCGAGGATTTCCCTTTGGGTGCATCTGCTTTGGCTGGAGGTGGAGGCTTTTTCGCCGCAGAATATTTTACTTTAACTTCAGCCTTTTCATAACATTCTTTGACTTTTCCCTTTTTTATATCGTCAAGCCCTTCCAAGAAAGTGTTCATCGCCTTCTCACCAATGACTTTCATCATTGTTCCCAATCCTTCAAAAGCTGCATTACGAACAGGTTCAAAACTATCCTCAGAAGCCTTCACCATCATTTCAGTTAAAGATTTGATTTCAGCCTTTTGTGGTGCAATTTTAGTATTTTTTATACATCTGACAAGCCATTTCATGGACTCTGATTTAACTTGTGGGTTCTTGTGTTTTCCGGCCGCCAATATGTCCTCAGAAACGTCAGATATTGTAACCTGTTAAATAATGAAATTATTGATTAGTTTAAAAAAATGTATTATAATGACCCTATAATATTTACACTTAAAAATACGGCATCCAGTGCCGAAGCCAAAGCATCAACTACACTTTGCTTCCTTTCTTTAAGTTTTTCTATCATGGGACCTACGACCTATATAAAAATAATATCTTAATAAAGGATTCAATATCATACAAATGATAAATTGAGTGTGATAAATTACCGTTGGTTTATATTTTGAAAAAGCTTCACGTAAACCCAAGGCCAACGCCTCTATCACATTAGCTGCGATTGTAACTACTAGAACATTGGAATCTGACATACGCTATAATTTTAAAAGTAACACATAAGTTAACTTTTCATTAATATGATCTTAATCATATTTACAAACCTTTGCAAGGGCAGTGGTTAAATCAGAATAATTATTATCCACGATCCTCGGTGTCTTACAGATTTCTAACAAACCCTCCAGAGCTTCTTTCCTTTCTTTCCATTTGGTAGAACCCTAAAAAGATATATGAAATTATTTCAAGAATCTACTATGAAAATTAATATCGTATAATATGTATTACCAATCCAGTATAGAATTCTTTGGATAATTTTGACAGAACATCGACTGGTTCTGCTAAATCATATGCATCAATCTCTTTCTCCTCTTCTGCTTCAGCTTCATCACCTATTAAATCAATTTCAAAACTATTAAAAGATAAATCTAACCAAATGCTTATAGCAACAAATAACACTACCTCCACCAGCTTCCGCCGCTGCCTCTGCTGCAGCTACTTGTGAACGTAATAATCGTTCCTGTTGAGGTTTTACTTGTGGTAATTTTTCAAATGCTTCATTCAATTCTTTGATCTATAATCAATAAAATATGAATCTGAAGTTTCCAAAAAAAAGAAGGTAACTTCATCTTTTCTATCTTTAATTTTACCTGTACTGGCTTTAACTCTGATAAATGTGGATCTATTGCTTTATTCAACCACTTATATAGTTCTATTACTAATTGTGTTCCCTAAGATAAAATTTAAATTAGCTTAAGATAACAAGATAAAATCATCTTTATACAGTATAATGTATTTAATTACCTCACTTCTCACATTCTTATCCGTGTGCGCAAATATTTTTGGTATAGTTTTGAGAATAGGCTTAACATTCACTGTTTTTGCACCGTAAAGTCTTTATATAAATAAATATATATGTATATTAAGTAAACGATTAATTTAATTGAGTTATTTGTCGCATTAAAATAAAAGCGATCCAAGGTTTATATCAGTACCTAATTATCTCTTTAAGTGCATGAACAGCTGTGGCAACCAATTTAGGTTGTTTGGCATTTAATCCAGCAAGGACATCTTCCTAAAAATAATAAATATTAATTAGCAAACTTTCTTTTAAGTAATAATTATAAGATATTCATTCACACACCACTATGGGATCTGGTATATCAACTTCTATATATAACAGTATGAGTTCTATTGCCTTAGTTTTTGTTCCAGAACGGCTTGAGCCGAAACCCTTATCAACAACGGCCGGTATAATAGAAGCCCTGGCCCTGCAATTGAGAAGAGACTACCATATTAAGACCTGAAGAAACGGTTGAAATCGAATAATAGGCGCCAGTTTATAAACTGTTCAAATCTATTTTGACGCGCTAAAAACATTTGGATGAAGGTTATTGCGTGAAAGAAAAAGTTAAATTTACCTTAATGGATTTGGTGCGTTATCAACAAATGCAATCAATGTCGTTAGACCAGCTTCTTGAGCGACAGCATTGGAATCTGTCGCAATGCTTTTCATTAATCCCTCATAAGGCCTAAAGTCGCTTTCACTATCTGATTTTTTAAATAGTTTTGCAAGTTCTTCATAAGCTCCAACCCGAACTTTCCAAATCTAAAAGAGCCAAAATACCGAAAATATTATATCATCAAGACTAAAATTGAACGAGTATTTGGAGAAAAGAAAAAAAAAAAACCTTATGTGTTACTCGTTCATTAAGAGGTATTGATGAATAATCCTCCTCAGGTGCTGCCATTATATTAAAAGCACAACAGACGCGGATTAAGAAGTATAAGATAAAATAAAAAAACAACGTAAGAAACCTTTCTATAAAGATATTAGTATGAAAATGACGAGCGGTGTAAAAGTATATAGACAACAGTACAGAATAAAAAGGAGAACGAAAGGTTGGTATGTAATTTAGAAGCTTTTCCCAATTCCCCGTGTAATAAAATTGATTTGGAAATTATCGACACAACATATAAACCTAGTCAAAAACGGCTCACTATAATTAAGATCATGTGATAAAATCGAGTTGATCGTAAATTCCATTAACCATCTTTGGATTTTTTTTTTTCATTGCAAACAACGTCGTTTTTTATTAAATCAAGCTAGAATTTTGACGGGATAAAATGATTCTTAATGCTAGAACTAAAAAAACTACAAGAATGAATCCTCTGAATTTTTCAAAACCTAATATTCAAAATTGAAACACATTCAATTTTTTTTTTAACTAGAGCTATTTTTTAAAAAGAATAGGCTTAAAGAATGACATTTTTAGTTTGTATATGCTATAGATTTGGTATTTTAGAGGTTATTATTGTAAGAGAGTTATGTAAGTTATTTTTATTATAGAATTCATTTATTACATGATCAATAAGAGAATTAAGCAAGATAGTTTAATTAGGATTTAATGATGCCTATATATAATATTATTACATAATAATAATATTATATTACATAAATTATATTACATAAATACAATTTTCATATATGGACAGATAAACTATTTCTATAGTATCATCTAACATGATATTTAAAATAAGTAATTGAGAATGTTAAAGCATCTGAAACGTTCAAATAGTTAATATTTGATCAACTGTAAATAATACTTATTTGTTAGATTATGTGTAAAAAAGATACTACATGTATAGTTTTAGTTTTAATTTCAAATAAGAAAAATAAATATGAATATTTTATTGAATAAATAAAGTAACAGTTATAATAATAAAGCTATTTATTGTATAATTTATCTTTTAAAACATTACTTATAATATATTATTAAAAATATTTATGGTTAAAAATAATTAAAAAATATGTAATAAATTTAAGAATAACATATAATATAAAATATATAAGCAATACAATATTGTCAACATTAGAAATTGACATTATCATAAGTGCAGAAAAGATCACATAAAAACTGTTAGATTATATTGCATAGCAATGATTAATAATTATTGTGACAAGTAAATCAAAAAAATATTAAGAATCTACATGATTTACCTGATCGACCAAATTAACCAGTTCCTTCTGATATTATAAATTTTATTTATATTCGTAATAATAAATAATTTTTATTCTTAGATATCTTTATTATATTTATTTATTTTCTTATTTTATATTATTTATCTTATATTTATTTTATTAATTTTATTATTATATTATATCTAAAATTTATTAAAATAGTTAGTTTATAACATTATAGAAAGTTAACTATAGCAAATTAATTTTGTATAAATAGAATAAACTTTTTGCTCAAGTTGTAAATTAATTCATCTGTAAGTTTTTACAAGTTTCAGTATTATAAATAAAAAAATTAATTTAAATTTATACAAAATTACATTGTCTCTTATCTAGATTTGTTATAATACTATACACTAACTAAGCTATTAAGTTTGTCATTATGAGTTTAACTAAATATATCTTAAATTCTAAGATATTGCTATAGGAAGATATTAATCCAAAAGATTATGTAACACACGTGACTAAAAAGGCATATTGATTGCGCTATGTTAAACGATAAAGATGGTAAAGATAAAAGAAATGAATTAAATAAAAGTTATACGAAAAATCCAGAAGTCGCCGGAAAATTCCATTATATTATTAATTATTTTGTATTATTAATTATTTATTATTTATAATCAATTAGTATTTTATTTATTTATATTAGC